AAATAAGAGGCTCCCTCTTTTCCTGTATTTTTATTTTATACCATGAAGAATGCAGCAGGAGGAATGGGAAGCACCCCAAGTTAGGTGGGAACACCCTAGGTTTGTGTGTGTGAGAAGAGCAGGGCAATCTCTCCTTTTGGAGTCTCTAGAGGGGACACTCACAATAATGAAAACTGCTGTGTTAATGCTGTAGATGGACGGTATTGTATATATGTCACAGTTGCTCACAGTTACACTTTAAGGGATCCACTTATAAACAAAGGTTGTACACCGGAACTCCAAAGCAAATCCAGTACGTCTATTTATTCACTTAGTTGTTGCAAATGCAAAACACAAGATACAACGTTTCGGGTGCTCACAGGATCCCCTTCATCAGTCAAACAAGTGATAAACAACCACTTATAAACAATTCGCAAATCCATCTCTGTGAATGTTCATTCTGTGTGAATAGAGACACATTCTTAGTATATTTTCAAGTTAAATGTAATGTAATACCACATTATGGCCACTAGATGGAGCTAAGGAGCGCAGGAACTAAATACTTATTTTTAGGGATGTCCCGATACCGATGCTAGCATCGGAATCGGGCCCGATACAGGGCATTTTGTCAAAATGCCCCGATGCCTAGCGCCGAAGCTTGCGCTGTTTTTTTAATTTGTTTTTACCGTCCGTGGGGTCCTTTTTACCGTCCCCTGGGCAGGCTGGAGGTGCGTCGCGTCACTGCTCTGGGCGGCGCTCCAGGTGGGGTCCTAATGTGGTTGGCCAGCGACTGCCCAGAGGACTCCGCCTGTAGCTCCGCCCACAACAGTGACGCGACGCTCAGCACCGCCGACGTCCTCGAAAAGGAAAAAGAAAGCATTCGGCACCTCGTGAGGCACCTCCATTGAACAGGCAAGAGTGAGTAAGGGCCTGTGCTGGGATGGCAAAGAAGACAGTCAGTAGTTGCTCACGATAAGGGGTCCTCACTGTCCCTATGTGTATGCACCATGGGTATCAGTACCGTCAAGCACCCAGGGCACATGCCCACATCCCTGGGTGCTCAGGCTGCTTCCACCCACTGTTGATCTGTAGAAGTGGGTACAGAGGAGAGCTGGAGTGAGGGGGGGGCAGAAGTGCTGAGATGTGGACGGGGATTTAGAGATGAGCTGTGGCTGGGTAGGGAAGAGGTGAGGTGTGAAAGGTAAGCTGTGGCGAGGGGGAGCAGAGTTTAGCTGTGGACGTGGGTATAGTGGTAAGCTGTGAATGAGGGGGCAAAGGTGAGCTCTGAATGAGGGTTACAGAGTTTAGCTGTGGACATGGAGTTCAGAGGTGAGTCAGATGTTTTTTTTTTAAATGTCACCTGTCCCTTTAAGAAAAAGTATCGGTAATTGGTATCGGCAAGTACATGAGGGCCAGTACTTGTACTTGTACTTGATCTTAAAAAAGTGGCATCGGGACATCCCTACTTATTTTCTATGCTTCCCAGTTCCAGCTAGTTGCCATAAAGTGGTATTACATTACGTCACATTCAACTTGAAAGGAAAATATACAAGGAACGGTAATTTTTGCCTCTATTCACACAGAACGAAAGTTAAACGAGATTCACAGAGCGAATGGCTCTGCGAATTGTTTATAAATAGACCCCTAAGATCCACAAATAACTATGAACATTTAAAAGTGTTACAAAATGTAGACTCATCAATAAATAATATGTACTCTTCCTTTCAGGGTTTATATCTGGTGTACAACCCGGTACAGCTCTCAACAACAGCGGCCGCAGCGATACTTCTGCTCGGGCTTGTCGGGTACTACATCTTCAGGATGACCAACCATCAGAAAGACCTCTTCAGACGCACCAACGGCAACTGCGTCATCTGGGGCAAGAAGCCGAAGTTCATTGAATGCGCTTACACGTCCACGGACGGCAAGAAGCACTACAGCAAGCTCATGATCTCGGGCTTCTGGGGGGTGACCCGCCACATGAACTACACCGGGGACCTGATGGGATCTCTGTCTTACTGCCTCGCCGGCGGATTCGACCACCTGCTGCCTTATTTCTACATCATCTACATGACCATCTTGCTGGTCCACCGCTGCCTCCGCGACGAGCACCGCTGCTCCAGCAAGTACGGCAAAGACTGGAAGCTGTACACAGACGCGGTCCCCTATCGCCTGCTGCCGGGAATATTCTAATGGCTACGATGTCATTTCAGGTGAAAACAACGGAGGTTCATGTTGGAACTGTAAAAATACTGTCGCAATGTTTTCTTTTTTTAAGAGAGAGAGAGAGAGAGAGGCTGTTCTCCTCCTCCGGACAATTCTTGTTTTACAAAATTTCACATTTCTATTTAATAATAAAAAAAAAAAAACAACTTGGGTCTCCGGCTGCGTCACTGAAAACGGAACTTTCGGAGAGGAAACTGTTTCAGTAAAATTAAGTCGCCTCTCGTTTTGGTTTTACCGCTGCATTTTTGTAAACCTCTGCACTCTAAGAATGGACTTACAGCGTATACCCCACGTCCCAAAGAAAGAACGTGTGAAGGTCCTTAAAGTAGAACAGAAGCCAAAACGTTTGGATAGAGCAGGAAACAAGGGGCTCCACCATGCCACTAGGACAGGGGTGGGCAACCTCGGCACTCCAGCTGCGGAAAAACTACAAGTCCCATGAAGCATTGCAAGACTCTTACAGCCACAGCATGACTCTCAAAGGCATGGGCATGGCAGGATTTGTAGCATCACCAAGGATGGAGTGCTGAGGTTGTACCAGGAAGATAACCTACAGGAGCCATGCTCCTTCCGGCTTAGCTCAGATCTAGGAGGGCTATCATCCCTGGCCTGTGTAGAGAGCCTACCTAAATCTTTCATGCCATTGCCACACATGGCCAAATCTAAACCTCGCCATATATGCTACAATCTAATTACACAATCTTCTTTAGATCAACCAGCAACTATGTAGGTTAACTGTTTTCCTACAAACTGAATGGGTTGTTTAGGCGAGCCCCGCCCCCCTAGAATTTGCGCAATCAAATGGTACCATCGATGGCCATCTTAGCATGGAGGTCGTACTTGTTGTGGCCACATGGGGGTCAAAGAAACAGACCGAATGGTTTTAAAATGTCTCTCTTGTACAGTTTTTGGACGACTCACTTGATAATTCTGAATAAAATGTCCAGTTTTTAACGTATTTTGTCTTTTTATTTGGTGATTCCATTAAGGGCAAATGGATGTTTTAAAGTGACCCGGTTTCCTCTGAAAGGAAAAACGCCCCGTGACAGAAGAAGTTTTATACTTACCTGTCTGAGGGGCGACATGTTGAAACTCCTCTGCCTGGGTCTGGGAGCTGCTGCTATCCAGGTGTGTTGGATAGAGCATCCCCCCTGCTGTGTCCTGGGGGTCCTACTGCTGGCCCCCTCCATACCTAAATGACACATGGGGGTGTATTTATAAAACATATGCAGAGTTGTTCCCTCTGTGATTCTAAGTTTTAGAGTTGTGCCACACTATGGCCACTAGATGGAGCAATGGAGCCTAGGAATTTTGTATGCTCCTCGGCTCCATCTGGTGGTGAATCTAAAACCAACACGTTCACAGGGCGAACAGCTCTGCGAGCGTTTCAAAAATTCCCCCCCTATGATGTATGGGCCAGCCAAAGGAACCACAGCAGCAAATGCAGGCGGTTTTGCCGAAACCAATACAGTTTAATCAGAGTTTGGACTTGCAAAATGTCTGGAAGGTAAGTAATCAGCATCTTCTTATGAACATGCCGCATCTTCAATTGCAGAAGCCAGGATACGCCCTTGTATTTGGAAAGCAACTGTTGGAAAGCTGCTGCGGATATAACACGTACCAGTCAGGATGGTGCTGGACACATGGCTGAACCCTTCATCATCTTACTGGAAACAAGAGGCAAACAGAGATAAGAAAATTACATCATTACCATATAGCAAAAAATGACATTATACCAAAACACTGCCACCTAGTGGCAGAATCACTAATCACAGTATAATGTATGAGAATGGTTGTTGCACCTATGACTGTATGGGCAGCATGCTAACACCCCCCCACTCAGCAACTACTTCTCATATAAGTCTTGTCTTCTTCTGGAGTGCTGCAAACTTTTGCTCTAGCACCAAGTTTTTAAGGGTGCTGCAGACAGGGCCGTTTAGGCATCACACCGTCCAGCTGCCCCAGCCTCAGTTCACTCTCCCAACTTTCTGTCAACGGTTTCAAGAAACACCCGGGGAAACAGATGGGGGCACAATCCTCCTTGGAACGGTGTGCCTTTCTAACTGCCCCAATCACAGGGCAGCATGGGGTCTCCACCCCCCTGGCCAATCACAGGCGCCTGAGCACCTAAACCTCCCTCGCAAACACAGCCAAGCTCCAAGAGCCGATTAAACCCGTTTGATCGCCCGGACTCCCAATACCCCGGAGACATATCTGTCTCAACTAGAAAGTCCAGTTCCACCAACACGGGCGACATGTCAAAAACTACAACAAGTCAGCCGAGTCCAGTGCTGTGTGTATGTGCTGTGCCAGTTGTCCGGGGGCCACTCACAGCTGACATCCTGGAACCCGGGGTCTCCCCCTGGCATGGCTTGGCACACATAATGTGGGCATGGTGAGCCGAGACACAAGGAGCCCTTTACTACAGGCACCCTTCATCACATAGGTGGGGAGGAAGACGTCCTGTACTGGGATTATACTGGGAGCATAGGCGATCTCTCCACCCAAGTGCCCCTTCTGCATCTCACACCCATTTTTTTTTTGATACGCATCCTGTTGATGAAAATTGTTACATAGCTTCTACTTGAGACCTTTTGTCTCCTTGATCTCCGATTTTCCTTGGCTTGGTGCAAAAGCCCCAGTGTTTATTTATTACAGGTATTTATAGACTGCCGACAATTTACGCAGCACTTTACATAGTTGCACATTCACATCAGTCCCTACCCTCAAGGAGCTTACAATCTAAGGTGCCTATCTCATATACATACATAGAGGGCCAACTTGGAGAGGAGCCAAATAACCTTCCAGCATGTCTTTGGAGTGTGGGAGGAAACTCACACAGCACAGGGAGAAAATGCAAACTCCTTGCAGATCGTGACCTGGCCAGGATTCAAACCGGGGAATCTGGCAAGAGTCTGGCAATGCCTCACGGGACTTGTAGTTCCACAACAGCTGGAGGGCCGGAGTCGCTCACCCCTGCTCTTGACACATCTGGTTGAGAGGTAAATCAGGATAGAATTTTAAAAAGAAGAGCTGTGATAACACTAAGAGGTCTCTTTATAAACAATTCACAGTGCCATTCACCCTTTGAACATCTCTGAACATTCGTTCTGTGCAAATTTATGCAACTAGATGGGGACCCCCCATGCTCAAACCGAGGACCCCCCATGCTGCAAGGCAGAAGCACTAACCACTACACCACTGCAGGCCCGGCGCTACCGTAAGGCGGGCGCCTTACGGCGCTGCAGGGTGAGGGCGGAAAAAACAGGGCATTTTGACAAGTACTCGTACTTTTCAAAATGCCCCGATGTTTGTGTCAAAATGATCCCGACACGCGCGGCACTTCAAGCAGTCGCCGGCCAGCTAAATTAGGACCCCACCTGGAGCTCCTGCCACCGGACCAGCGCTGACTTGCCGCTGCTCTCCGCACCGAAGGTAAGTGAAAAAAACCATAGCGCAAACATCGGGGCATTTTGAAAAGTACGAGTACTTGTCAAAATGCCCTGTTTTTACAGGGAGTGGGGGTCGGGATCGGGGGGGGGGCGCAAAATTGCACCTTGCCCACCTTGACTACAATCCTAGCACCGGCCCTGCACCACTGTGCTACGTAATAGTCAGGTTGGGTCTCAGCAAGTGTTCGGTGGGGCTTCATCAGATACTTGCCTTGCCCTGGGCGCTGACAACCTACGCTACGCCACTACACAGTAGGTGTGGCAATTGAAGGGCCACACCAATTATAATAGTCCACTACGGCTCAGCTGCTGACAAGCCTGAAGCTCTCCCATTGTAACAAAATACAATGGTCAAGCTGCATGGTTGTGAGATTTCTCTCATTAAGCCCTTATAAAGAGGGAGGGTTCTGGACCCCGAAACGTGTTGGAAACTCTACCTGAATGTCTCCCTTACCCCACTGGAATAAAGCTGTATCTCTGGCAGCGGTGTCTGATGTCAGTGTACTCGGTTCTGGCATGGATCCTCTCATGAACAGGTAGCTTTCGCATTTCACCACCATGACGCCATGTGTCCCACACAATCTTGACTGTCACATCTGCAGCAGCTTTCCAACAGTAACAGAGTCAGTTCAATTCCAGGAAATTATCTTACCATTTTGGTAACTAACGTTGTGGTAGGGATGGCAACTTTCAAACATTCAGCGGCAAAATGACATACGGGAGTGCCGCATAAACCGGCTGAGAGCAATAAGGAGACGGTGAGCAGCCTGCATGGGGCCCAAAAACCACCCTCTTGACCAGAGGCGTCCCAAGGCCGGGTGACACCCCGTTGTGACGTCACGGCGCATCTCATCGTATTGATGCCTGCCGGCGGCCATCTTGGTGATGGACGCTGGCAGAGAGAGGAGGGGACGTTCACCCGGCGGGATGAGGTATGCCACCGGGTCCATGACCGAGTGTCCGACTTTTCATAGGGGGTGACACCAAAATGACTCCAATGGTGGCACCTGGGTGCGGGCTGCACACCCTGCACCCCCCTTGTGACGCCACTGCTCTTGACTAGGGGTGGGCAACTCCAGCCCTCCAGCTGTGTTTTAATTACAAATCCCATCGTGCCTCTGCCTCTGGGAGTCATCCCCGTGGCTGTCAGAGTCTGGCAATGCCTCACGGGACTTGTAGTTCCACAACAGCTGGAGGGCCTGAGTCGCTCACCCCTGCTCTTGACACATCTGGTTGAGAGGTAAATCAGGATAGAATTTTGAAAAGAAGAGCTGTGATAGCACTAAGAGGTCTCTTTATAAACAATTCACAGTGCCATTCACCCTTTGAACATCTCTGAACGTTCGTTCTGTGCGAATTTATGCAAAAAAAACCAAATGTTCTGGTTTTATTTTCTATAGAAGTACAATGTCATTTTATTTGGGTGTAATATTATGTTATGGCCACTAGGTGGCGCTAAAGGACCACAGGAAACAACCATCTGTTTATGCTCCTCAGCACCATCTGGTGCCCATAATGTGATATTACGCCATTGTTTATAAATAGAAGCCTAAATATAACCAATCAACACTGTTGTTGTTATTATTAACCACTGTCCTGGTTGCTGGGGGAGGGATCTGATCTTGTCTCCGCCCCTTCCTGTAATAAAGAGTGGTCACTGCTGCTGTCTATCATTCTGTAGGATGACTGGTCTTGTCTCCGCCCACTTCCTGTAATAAAGGACCTGTCACTACTGCTCTATGTCCTTGTGCAGGGTGACTGGTCTTGTCTCCGCCCCCTCCTGTAATAAAGGACCTGTCACTGCTACTCTCTCTGTGTGAAGGGTTTTTTCTCCCCCTTCCTTGATTAGGCAACCCCAGTAGTCCAGCTGTGCTTACACTACAAATCCCACCATGTATCTGGGAGCCATACCTGTGGCTATCAGAGTCTTGCAATGCCTCATGGGATTTGTAGTTCCACAACAGCTGGAGTGTCACAGTTACCTACCCCATTTAAACATTTGCTCTTCTTTTTACACAACTCCCATGCATATAAAATGTTTATTCCCCCCATACACCCCGTCTGCCCCTCCCGAATCATGTCTCCCGTCTCCCTCACATCCTCCCACGCAACATCTATTTCCAGTCAGAGCGGTTTTCCCGCCCTCTTAGCACCCTGGCGGAAATCGCTTCCCCGAACACGCCCCCTCTTGCTCCATCTCCCTCTCATTGGTCCTTCCGTTTTGAGTGACAGGTCGGTGTCAGCGGGCGGGTCCTGGAGAACGCTCCGCCAATCAGATCAGAGGCGTGCCTCGTAACCAGGAAGTGTGTGCTCGTGGTGACACAGGGAAGCGGCCGGAGACGGAGAGGGGGTCACCATGAGCTCCCCGGTAAGTGGCCGTCGGCTTGTTGTTTATTTAGCTCAGTCCCTGCCCCGGTGAAACAGGATGTGAGGCCAATTTGTCTCTTAAGAACGGTCGGGTCAACTACGCACAAGGGGAGGAGGAAGTTGTATCTTTGCTGGGAGTTGCATCCATGACCCCCCAGTGCTGCACTTGGAGCTGTGGCCCCCTTAGCTGCTGCATTTGCCCTAAAATATTCTGCTTTGCTGTGTTGGGACTTGTGGTCCATCCACTGGTGTTCTAAGTACTTCTGGTCTGGATGGCTTTGAAGGGGGACTCTTCTGTGTCACCAAGCTGAGGTGGAGGTCCCCTTTAAATTTAAAGTGGAATACCATTTTTAACAAAATATTTTATTTTGATATCATCAAAAACATAATCCTTATTTTAATGCTCACTATGGTTACAATTGTATTCAATGCAGTACGCGGCGACGGCACCATAGCAACCGATCAGAAATGATCACATGTCGGATCTGACTGCAGGAAACCCAAATGTATCCGCTTTGTTTTTAAGACTTTATTCTCTTTCTACGTCCCCCCAGTGTAAACAGCCCCATGGCCACAGCCACCAGCATGGCCACAGCCACCACGGGGGCCAACATGGTGGGCCCAGGGAGGACCAGGAGGCATTGAACCCACCGGTGCTGGAGGACTACAGCAACTGGGATATTGTGAAAGCCACACAGTGAGTATAATGCGGAGGATGGGGGGGCGGAGGATGGGGAAGTGGAGGATGAGGGGGACTTCCTATAGGTGGACCTGTAATATCTAATCCTAAATTCAGTAGGAGGTTGGTGATCTCAGTGACATGAGACTCTCTCCTCCCCTCCTCCACCTGTCACTCAATTCTCTTCCCCTCTTCTTCTCCTCTCTCTTCTTCTCCTCTCTCTTCTTCTCCTCTCTCTTCTTCTCCTCTCTCTTCTTCTCCTCTCTCTTCTTCTCCTCTCTCTTCTTCTTCTTCTTCTTCTTCTTCTCCTCTCTCTCTTCTTCTTCTCTCTCTTCTTCTTCTTCTTCTTCTCCTCTCTTCTTCTCCTCTCTCTTCTTCTTCTTCTCCTCTCTCTTCTTCTTCTTCTTCTTCTTCTTCTTCTTCTTCTTCTTCTTCTTCTTCTTCTTCTTCTCCTCTCTCTTCTTCTTCTCTCTCTTCTTCTTCTCTCTTCTTCTCCTCTCTTCTTCTCCTCTCTCCTTTTTCTTCTTCTCCTCTCTCTTCTTCTTCTTCTCCTCTCTCTTCTTCTTCTTCTTCTCCTCTCTCTTCTTCTTCTTCTCTTCTTCTTCTTCTCCTCTCTCTCTTCTTCTTCTTCTTCTTCTTCTCCTCTCTTCTTCTTCTTCTTCTTCTCCTCTCTTCTTCTTCTTCTTCTTCTTCTTCTTCTTCTTCCTCTTCTTCTTCTTCTTCTTCTTCTTCTCCTCTCTCTTCTTCTTCTCTCTCTTCTTCTTCTCTCTTCTTCTCCTCTCTTCTTCTCCTCTCTCCTTTTTCTTCTTCTCCTCTCTCTTCTTCTTCTTCTCCTCTCTCTTCTTCTTCTTCTCCTCTCTCTTCTTCTTCTTCTCCTCTCTCTTCTTCTTCTTCTTCTCCTCTCTCTTCTTCTTCTTCTCTTCTTCTTCTTCTCCTCTCTCTCTTCTTCTTCTTCTTCTTCTTCTCCTCTCTTCTTCTTCTTCTTCTTCTCCTCTCTTCTTCTTCTTCTTCTTCTTCTTCTTCTTCTTCTTCTTCTTCTTCTTCTTCTTCTCTCTTCTTCTTCTTCTCCTCTCTTTTCTTCTTCTCTCCTCTCCTTCTCTCCTCCTCTCTCTCCTCCCCTCTCTCTTCTCTCCTCTTCTCTCTCTCTCTCTCTCTCTCTCTTTTCTCTCCTCCAATGCCGATACTTGGCATTTTCATGAGAACTACCAGGGTTGCAGCGGTTGCAGCTGGGACCTGACTCTGGCGCTCCACCACTGTCCTAAAATCATTAGTCTGCATTGTTTTAGAAAAACTGTCACATGACAATAAACAAAAATGTACCAGTACTTGTATCTGTAAGTACTTGGGCAAGTATCAGTACTTGTATCTGTGAGGACTTGGACAAGTACCAGTACTCGTACTCGCAAAACTGCTATCTGTGCATCTCTTATATATATATGTTTATAAAAACAAAATCGTAGATTAAAACAGAGATGTACAAATCCCGGGAGCTCCGTGTGCTCCTTACACATGATAGCTGCCTCCTAACTTTTGAATTTTCCTCTAGTCTAGTCTTGGAGCTGGAAAAGTATCGGTACTTATACTTGTACCTAGTACGGTACTAGATATCGGTGCATCCCTAGTATTAAACATTTGTCTCTTTTAGGCACGGCCTGTTGGATCGTTGCAGAGAGCTCGTAGAGGCCGACTATGACGTCCGGCAACCGGACGGTGAAAACGTGACTCTCCTTCACTGGGCGGCCATTAACAACAGACTGGAGCTCGTCAAGTAAGTACTCGAGTGTTATACGTGCCATCCCTCTATTGATACGTTGTACTTGATATAAGAATTTTTGTTTTTATTTATGTTAAGATTAGTCTCTATCTACAGTAAAAACAGCTTTCTGTCCCAGCAAGGTCTCCTCTTGGTGCTTGAATTCACTGATAATTCAAAACTGTCAATTCTTGTCTATATAAAAGAGAGAGTTAAAGCCTCAGACCCCCCAAATATTGTATATAAACAAAAAAACAAATAAAGCAGCTCAGGCTTTGGCACTCACCTAAATTCAGAACTGTCCCCTGCAGTATGTCTTTTTCACCACAAGATGGCATCAGTCTTCCTGGTTGGATGACGCCCATCATGGAGTTGGGCTTTAATTCCCGGGTGATTATGATAAGCGGGGACCCTCTTCCACTTCTACAGTGTGGGTGGTGGACAGTCTGCACTGCCACTTAGAACTGTGCTCACATTGTCATGTGTAGGCATCTTTGTATGCAGCAGTTTACTGTGAGCCTTGACTGTGTCATGACACTTTGCCAAGGAAGGTGTCCATTTGAATGTGAACGTGCAGGAAGGGGTTTAATGAAGCTGGAAACCACTCAACCAGGACCAAAGTTTGAAGATGAAGCGGAGAACAGCGCTGGAACATGGAAAGAGTGAGAGTGATTCCTGGCAGCATGTAACACAATCTGTGAACTGATTAACCCTTCCCAGCAAACACTATCACTACACTATTATGGGCTGCCCAGCCCACAATAACGGAAAATATTGTATTCTAGTAACTGCACAAAGTTAAAGCGGACCTTTACCCAGATCTTTAAAATAACAACAAATACACCTTCAGAAATGTTTAGTGATGACAATCTACAGACAGATACTTCTAGATAATTGCCGGCTTTGTATACCTTTTTTCTCTATTCTTCCCCAGTCTTCTGACAGTGGCCATGTTTACTAAGGGCTGATCACTAGCTCTCCTTTTGCTTCCTGGATTACTGGCACATGTGACTAGGACATGTGACCGTGCACATCATCTCTGGGGAGGAAAATGCCTTTCCCTGAGATCTCATGAGATTTCCTAGCAATGCTCTGCTGATGACAAGGCAATCCCAGTGTGCATTGCTTTGCCAAACTGAAGTCATTTTGCCCTTTCAAAGCAGGAAGTGAATGTTCTGCAAGTGGAAGTATTTTACAATCACCTGATGTGTCTATGTTATTATTAATCATCATACATAGAGGGACGCATTGATAGAATTAGATTTTTTAGTGTAAAGGTCCGCTTTAATACCTATCATGATAGCGTTCAGTATATGATTTCTTATAGGTTCTATTCTGTTTTGTATCTTTAATGTACCTTACTGAGATGGGGGTTCTGGGCAGAGAACACTGAATAACACAATGCTTGTCTTTCAACCACAGGTATTTTATCTCCAAGGGGGCTGTGGTGGATCAGCTGGGAGGCACATTGAATTCAACTCCTCTCCACTGGGCTGTCAGGTAGGGAATTGATCCCTGTTTCTGTTTATCAACTGTCCTGGCACTTAGCTTATGTGCTTTGAAAACTCTTAATATAATATATATATACTGTGTGTGATATATATTTTTATATATATATGTGTATATATATATATTCCACGGTCAACTGTTAGTGGTATTATAAGAAAGTGGAAGCAACGGGGAAGAACAGCAACTCAGCCAGGAAGTGGTAGGCCATGTACAATGCCAGAGTGGGGTCAGCGCATGCTGAAGCGCGCAGAAGTAGCCAACTGTCTGCAAAATCAATAGCTACAGACCGCCAATCTTCGTGTGGCCTTCAGATTGGCACAACAACAGTGCGTAGAGAGCTTCATGGAATGGGTTTCCATGGCCGAGCAGCTGCATCCAAGCCTTACATCACCAAGTGCAATGCAAAGCGTGGGATGCC